TAACTGACATTAAAATGGATGAGATATTTGTGATTTTCCAACTAATTAGGCAATTGAGTGAATCAAAGCAAAAGAGGAAAATTCCATACCAGCTCTGTACTTGTATATTTTTGCTTGCTTTTTAATTGACTTTCTCATTAGCTGCTACAGATTGACAGGAAAAACTCAGCAGCATTCAGACAATTCCCATATACTCCCTTGCATTTCCTACCCCAAGTTTCCACTATTATTAACATCATGCATTATTGTGGTACATTTGTTACAATTGATGAGCCAATGTTAATGCTTTATTATTCATTAAATTCTACAGTTTACCTTTGGATTCATCCTTTCTGTTGTACATTCCATGGGTTTTCACAAATGTATGACACATCCAGATGATCATACAGAATAGCATCACTGCCCTAAAATATCCCCCTGTGCTCCACCTATTCATTCCTCTCTACCACCTACACATCCCTTGCAATCAATGATCTTTCTTGCTGAATTTATAGTTTTATCTTTCCCAGAAATTCATATAGCTACAATCATACTTGCAATTGAATAAATTCTACCATATTGGTGTGGCAGGCAGGGGAGTGGTGGTGGGGGGATGATTGTCCTGGAAGGAGGGGTCCTGCTGAGATGTGCCCCACGCAGGTGCCTGGTGCCCGACCAGATTCCCCTCAGTGCTGCAGCTGGCCCCACACCATACAGGGACCCTCCAAGAGCCTTGGCCCTCTGTTCCCCCACCTCTAGACCAACCATCCCCCATCCCTCCTGCCATAGGTCCTATGAAGGACAGAAGAAAGTAAGGAAAGGGCACCCTACAAGAAGTGAAGCCTCTGCCATCCTTCTTTATCCCCCTGGTTCCCAGGACAGAGCTGGATCTGAAGCCCAGACACAGCTCTAAGGCAGGGCCTGGGCCTGGGCTGCTTACCCAGTGTTGGGGTAAGAACACCTGAGCTATAATTAATGAATTGCTGGAGGCTCGCTGTGGACGTTTGAAAGTTAAACATTCTGGGAGGAATACCATACTTTTGTGAATGGTATTTAGATAATTATGGGAATTATATGAATGCTGCTGAGTTTTTCCTCTAACAGCCTTACAAGGTTCTCACATTGAAAAACAAAGAAAAGTCTCTGCAACCATTTGGTAGGAAAAGGGGAAAAGAAACCATTTTGAAATACCCCCAGCATTCTAATCTTCTTGGCCAGACCTGCCCTCAAGCCAAACTATTTAAAGAGAGCTTGATTTACTGGAGTTTACCAGAGCTTAACAAATTGGAGAAAGAAAAATACCCATCCCAGCCTCTGATAGCTTTCCCGGTGGGGGAAGGGAAATAAGCAATTTCAGTATCTTCTAGCCTTCCTGTCTTACCTAAGGAGACAGGAAGGAAGAGTGGAACTTCAACAAAAACTACTAATCAAGTTATTGCAATTTTTACCTGGATAATTTAGACACATGGATATTGTTGAAATAACTAGTCTCTGATATCCATAATTTTCTGAATTTAATCATTACCATTCATATTTTCTGTTATCTGTTCATATCTGTTATTGAATATTTTAATTCAAAGATATGTTTATTCAAGTGCTGAGGAATTGATTCCTCAACAATTTAACATAAATTTAATTGGGTAATATGTATTTAGGTTACATTTTACTCTATCCATGTTTTGATTTAGCAAGTGTTTTTTTTTCAATTTTTTCTTGACCTAAAGTATAAGCAGTTACTTTGAGTATGTCATCTTTGCATATAATATAATCTTTATATATTAACATATATAAACTTTATTATATCTCTTTTTATATGAATCCATATTGTTTTATTAAAAAATTATAATAAATGATTATTTTACAATATGTAATATTGACTATTACTGTATTAATGAGTATTTTATTCAACCAAAATTTCAAAGCAGAAGTAGTCAAATTATTCTTCTAACAGTTGATTATTAGAAAATTACTTCAAATAATTTTTTGTTGCAAGATGAAGTGGCTTTCCAGTAAAATGAGTATGATAAAATATAAAATTAGAAACAAATAACATTATAATTAATTTTCAAGGATATTAGCCAATTTGTTTTTCAAATAGATGTTAAAAGTTTTTTTAAAATTTTTTTTAAAAAATTCCTGAGAGTTATCTCTCTCTCTCACACGCACACACACACACACACACACACACACACACAGAAACTACTAAGAAGGAATGAATTTTATTTCTATTGGAAGACAAGAAACATGTAATTTTAGCCTCAGTGTGTTTCTCATTGACCAACATTATATGGAGTCCCCAAATGATCTCCCTCATTTTTCCATTGGTCATAATGGCTGCAGAATTACTTGACATCACATACAATTGTTCAATTGAATACATTGGTGGTATTATAAATACACTAGAGGCCTGGTGCTTGAAATTTATGCACTGGGGTGGTGGGTCCATCAGCCCAGCCTGCACCCTCTCACAATCCAGGATCACTGGCTCCTAACCACTCGCCTGCCTGCCTGATCACCCCTAATGGCCTCTACCTCAGTCCCCCTCCCCCCGCCCCCTGCTCGCCGCAGCAGCCGCCTCTGCCTTGGCCCCACTGCCGTGGCTTCATCTGGAAAGACATCCACAAGGTCGTCCAGCTGTCCGGCCTAATTAGCATATTACACTTTTATTACTATAGATGTTAATATTGAAACATCCCAGGAACTTGTTAAAGAGTTTCATTGCAATTAAGTTAGTTAATGAAGTTGACCAGAACTTATTTGGACTATACTAAGGTGAAATAATGAGATAAGATAGGTTGGCATCTATTGGAAACATAACGTTCATGATGGTGTATGTGTTGTGGGGGGGGGGGGGGGGGAAGGAAACAATCAGGGATGTCATGGTGAATTTTTGAGAAATAGAGTAAAAGGACAATGAAAGAAAAAGGAATTTGGCAAGAGCATCCAGGATTGATTGAAGATTTAAAAGACTAAAAGCAGAGAATACAATGAAGTGTAAATAAAACAGATACATTAATAAGTAAAATACATATATATGCTAGAATTTCTGGGGGAAAAACAAAGTTTTGGGTTATATTTTCATGTAATTGGTTTTTTGAACTGACTTTCCCAGGTAAAGAGTTATAAAATAAAGCTATTTCTTTTTAAATCTTTGTGAAATAACCCAGAATTTATGTTAAAAAAACAATTTAGTATAATTTTGTAGAGCTGTCTGGTTATCAAGTTGAACTGAAAGCTTCATACTTTTTTAGTTTTTTATTTTTACGTTTTAAAAAGGGGGAGTGCGGGAAATTTGCATAAATGTGACAACTAAGTATCCACCAAATCCTGGAGCTGAAGACACTTTGGGATGAATATTTTCTTATGTGTGAGACTGGAAACAGTTAACTGACCCAAATTCCTTTCATGTTGAGACTTAGCGTATTTCATTTATTGAAAAATCCATATAAAACATGACTTTTGCTTAAGCAATATCTGCTTTTTCAAAATGTTGGTGTTAAATTCTCACATTTCAGGTTTCAAACTGTGCAAGCTTTCTATTTTTCTTCAGTTTACCCCCCTCCCCCCCCCGACTTATTTTTACTGTTTTGTTTAACGTCCATTAACAGTTGAGTTTCTGGCTTGACTTCAGATTTTTTATAGTGGTGAACATTGACAACATGCTTGATTTCCAGGTCTGGAATATTTGACAATTTTTGGTAGTATTTCTAGAATGCCAATATAATATCTTACGTAGCAGGATGAATGGTCTTATCATCTTCTTGTGTTAGTATACGTTTTCGATAGATTTTTATAGGATAAATGTTGACACTAAGAAAAAAGTGAGAAAGTAAGATTACTTGATAGAGGGGAATGTCATTGCACAAGCAAGACTATTGCAATGCAAGACAATTACTATCCATGTGTTTTCTCTGGGTCTTGGTTTTCTATCAAAGCAAGAGTAGCATTAGTGATTGCTCAAGTACATTACTAATCATCTAGGGAACTGATCACTATTAAACTCAGCAAAAAAAGAAAATACAGAAAAATATCTTTGGAGCTTTACATTTTTTGTTGTTTAAGCACAGACTTTTTGGTAAAGAGAGCTATAAGTGACAGGTTTTGTTTTAAAATGATTAGAACTTGGCACAGGGGTTGGTTTCAAAACTAACTGTATTTCTATTTCATTTATTCTTTGTTGAATCCTGAACTTTATTAGCCCTTGAACTTTAGAACATCCTGAATATTGATGTTAATTAAGTCAGGAAGATTTTCTGTCAAAATATTAAATATTTTCTGACATTCGTTTTCTGAAATTACTTGAAAACTCTCATAGTCACTTACTGTGAGGGTTTCCTTTTTCTCCAGTGATACCTTTGTTAGACATGGATTTCTCCTTAGCAATGAGAGATTCTAGTTGTATAGCACCTCCGGCTTTTTAGATGCTTAAAAATGTTAGAGTTTTTACAATGTCCAATTTGACACACAGAAATTAATATGACAAAACAAAGATTTAATTAACAAAAGAAAATGTAACATATTGTGCTCACCTTATAACCACAGTATGTACATATAGGAAATATTATAGTCAAGGTCCTGAGCTGTCACACTGCCAGACTCCATTCTTTCATTAAGAACTTGATGCCCAGGACGAGCAGAATCAGGATTCACGTGCAGGCAGTCTGCTTCCAAGTTTGCCCTTTGAACCACCAGGCCATAGTTTTGAGATGATGGGTTTATCACATGGCCCATTAAAGGGAAGGACTAATCCTATTTTAATCTGTAGCACCTGACAGGGTACATAATACAGAAATAAAATTAGTGCCTACATCTGAAAAACCTGAAACATCGAGTTAGGTTAGAGTACTCTCCAGGCTTCCTTCTTTCTTAAACACCATGGAAACAAGCAAAAACAAGTCAAAAGTGGTTTCTATTCACATTGAGAAGATTATACTGCCTTGAGGAAAAGATACCCAAGTATATATATTTCTAATATCCAAAAAATAAAGAGTTGCTTTTTCTCTGTTTTCCCCCACCCATAGGTATATACCGTTGAGGAATCTGGACTAAATATCCTGGTGTGGTCAGTGATTGGCAATAAAAGAACTGGTTGGATGTACGGATATGTACATCTCTCCAGGAACAGTCCATTTAAGGTGGCATTTGAAGCTGATTTGAGTGGTAATGAACACATCTTTATTGCCCTTGATGACATCTCCTTTACCCCAGAATGTGTATTTGGAGGTAAGTGATTCCTTCAGAAAATGGGATATACACACATTGTTTTTAATGTCTAAATACAGAAGAATTGGGAATTCTGAGGAATAGCATTTCTTTCCAGGTCCCATTTTAGTCATATATTGAAGAAAGAGCAGTCTGTCTTGTAGGAGGTAAAGATTTTTCTGCCCGTGACACTTCACTATGGAATTTTCATGTCATCTGAACAACAAAATAACTTTGACTAACTTTCTTTTGAAAGCATGGCAGAAATTTGGTTTCATTAATATAGCTTTATTGTCCACTTTCTTTCATAGGTTTGTAGTAACTGTACAAGGTAAAGATCACTCTGGTCACCTATCATATTCCAGACTGTCTTTCCCATCCATGTCAACTTTTGCCTTTCCATAGGCTTTTTCCATTCTCCTGTTCCTACTCTACAATCTAGAATTCTTATTCTATTGCATAAAGAAAACAAAAGTCCTGACACTTACTCCTTTAAAAAAAATCCCCTTAACGAAAATCTGACCTTCTCCTACTTAAGATATTTTCCTTAAGTAGCAATTTATTCTCTTTTAAACTTAGCCTTAAAAATTTTAATGCTTGACATTAGGGTCACTGTCTTTCTCTTACTTGATGCCTCTTCCAAAATTTTATTCTTCTAGTCACACATCTGGGTTCTTATCTTTTTTATGATTTTTCTTGGATCTTAAATTCTGGACAATCTCAACTTCCAGGTGACTGGGCTTGTGTAAAACGCTGACCTTCAGTGCTAGTCACCTTCATAAATATTCTTCCTCCTTAACCAAACCTCATAGTTACTGTCTGGGCCTTATAACACGCTCTGAAAATGCAGGTTGAAATTTTCATCTAGTTCTTATGTTCTCTACTTCTTGATTACTCCTCCTAAACCAGTTTGCCAACATAAATAATAAGAAAAACATTCTAGATTCTCAATGCTTTATGTGCTTTTTATAAAACACCCTCTTTATACTTTTTTCCTAATAATCCCAGATGTAATTATCTAACACCACAATTCCATTCTAAATTAGCACTTTGCATTCTATTATGTCCTACTAGAGGCCTGGCACACAAAATTTGTGCACAGATACAGTCCCTAGGCCTGGCCTGTGATCAGGGCCATCTTCCCCTGCTAACAGCAGCCAGCCCTGGCCCCCGCTGCCACCCACCCCCAGTTCCCCATTCACCATCCAGTGATTAGAGCCTGCCAGCTGTGGCGAGGGACCAAGAGGTTGGCCGTTCCCACCCATTTGCCATCCCCATCCCCTGATGTCGGTTGCCCTCTGTGTGTGGGGTGACCAGCAGGGCGGGGGCCTTAGCCTGATGCCACCCACATCTGCCACAACCCACCCCTAGTTCCCTGTTCCCCATCAGGTGATCAGAGCCTGCTGGCCAGGGAAGGGACCGAGAGGTTGGCCGGCAGGCCCTGATAAGGTGATTGGGGCCTGCAATTGGGAGATCAAGACCTGCAGGCTGGAGGCAGCTCCTGTGTTGAGTGTCTGCCCCCTGGTGGTCAGTGTGTGTCATAGCAACAGGTCGTTCTGCCGTTCTGTCAATTTGCATATTACCCTTTTATTATATAGGATTTTTTCATTTTAACATAAATATGTGTCCTAATTATGTGCCAGGAGCTCTGATAAGCACATTGTAAGTATTTATCAGACCATCCCTGTAGAATAGATACAAGTATCCAGCTCATGTTTGTTCATAATGACGTTATTAATCTTTAAAATTGAATTGCTATGACCATTTGTGTTTTCCAAACTGCTGATGCTCATGCTCACTGGGACAACTAGAAATTTTGGACCCTTAGCTGGGCCTTCAAGGATCCCAGATACATGTGTTTCCCATTCCTGGCACTGTTTTTCTACAGCAATTTTCAAATCCTCCCATTTCTCCCTTGGACTTTCTTCATTCTCTCAATGTTTTTATAACCTCTGAATCCTATATAATAAAAGGCTAATATGCAAATTGACCGAAAGGTGGTACAACCGGTTGCTATGACACTCACTGACCACTAGGTGGCAGACGCTCAATGCAGGAGCTGCCCCCTGGTGGTCAGTGTGCTCCCACAGGGGGAGTGCTGCTCAACCAGAAGTCAGGCTCATAGCTGGCAAGCTCAGTGGAGGTGGCGGAAGTCTTTCCCGCCTCCGCAGCAGTGCTAAGGTGTTTAATTGACGGTGTAGGCCCACTCCCCACAGGGCCTAAGCCATCAGTCAGACATTCCCTGAGGGGTCTCGGACTCCAAGAGGGCACAGGCTGGACTGAGAGACCCCCCGCCCCCCACAAAAAAAATCCCCTTAACGAAAATCTGACCTTCTCCTACTTAAGATATTTTCCTTAAGTAGCAATTTATTCTCTTTTAAACTTAGCCTTAAAAATTTTAATGCTTGACATTAGGGTCACTGTCTTTCTCTTACTTGATGCCTCTTCCAAAATTTTATTCTTCTAGTCACACATCTGGGTTCTTATCTTTTTTATGATTTTTCTTGGATCTTAAATTCTGGACAATCTCAACTTCCAGGTGACGGGGCTTGTGTAAAACGCTGACCTTCAGTGCTAGTCACCTTCATAAATATTCTTCCTCCTTAACCAAACCTCATAGTTACTGTCTGGGCCTTATAACACGCTCTGAAAATGCAGGTTGAAATTTTCATCTAGTTCTTATGTTCTCTACTTCTTGATTACTCCTCCTAAACCAGTTTGCCAACATAAATAATAAGAAAAACATTCTAGATTCTCAATGCTTTATGTGCTTTTTATAAAACACCCTCTTTATACTTTTTTCCTAATAATCCCAGATGTAATTATCTAACACCACAATTCCATTCTAAATTAGCACTTTGCATTCTATTATGTCCTACTAGAGGCCTGGCACACAAAATTTGTGCACAGATACAGTCCCTAGGCCTGGCCTGTGATCAGGGCCATCTTCCCCTGCTAACAGCAGCCAGCCCTGGCCCCCGCTGCCACCCACCCCCAGGTCCCCATTCGCCATCCAGTGATTAGAGCCTGCCAGCTGTGGCGAGGGACCAAGAGGTTGGCCGTTCCCACCCATTTGCCATCCCCATCCCCTGATGTCGGTTGCCCTCTGTGTGTGGGGTGACCAGCAGGGCGGGGGCCTTAGCCTGATGCCACCCACATCTGCCACAACCCACCCCTAGTTCCCTGTTCCCCATCAGGTGATCAGAGCCTGCTGGCCAGGGAAGGGACCGAGAGGTTGGCCGGCAGGCCCTGATAAGGTGATTGGGGCCTGCAATTGGGAGATCAAGACCTGCAGGCTGGAGGCAGCTCCTGTGTTGAGTGTCTGCCCCCTGGTGGTCAGTGTGTGTCATAGCAACAGGTCGTTCTGCCGTTCTGTCAATTTGCATATTACCCTTTTATTATATAAGATTTTTTCATTTTAACATAAATATGTGTCCTAATTATGTGCCAGGAGCTCTGATAAGCACATTGTAAGTATTTATCAGACCATCCCTGTAGAATAGATACAAGTATCCAGCTCATGTTTGTTCATAATGACGTTATTAATCTTTAAAATTGAATTGCTATGACCATTTGTGTTTTCCAAACTGCTGATGCTCATGCTCACTGGGACAACTAGAAATTTTGGACCCTTAGCTGGGCCTTCAAGGATCCCAGATACATGTGTTTCCCATTCCTGGCACTGTTTTTCTACAGCAATTCTCAAATCCTCCAATTTCTCCCTTGGACTTTCTTCATTCTCTCAATGTTTTTATAACCTCTGAATCCTATATAATAAAAGGCTAATATGCAAATTGACCGAAAGGTGGTACAACCGGTTGCTATGACACACTAGAGGCCTGGTGCATGAAAATTCATGCACTAGGTGGGGAGGGGGAACCTTCAGCCTGGCCTGCACCCTCTCGCAGTCTGGGACCCCTCAGGGGATGTTCGACTGACAGCTTAGACCTGCTCCCCATGGTATCTGGCAGTCAGACATCCCTCTGGCACCCTGGGAGCCCTTGGGGTAGGCCCACTCCCCACAGGGCCTAAGCCATCAGTCAGACATTCCCTGAGGGGTCTCGGACTCCAAGAGGGCACAGGCTGGACTGAGAGACCCCCCGCCCCCCACCCCAAGTGCACGAATCTTGTGCACTGGGCCTCTAATAGTCTATAAAGCCATTTTATAAAAAATACCTTTAATTTTATCTTTTCATCTCCAAATATACCCATATCTACAACCAATTTTTTTTGTCACCATTTGTCTCAGGAAAAAAACACCTCAATTTTTCCAAGAGTAAATCTCTCTTCTTGGTCATTTCTGTTCTCAACTTCTCCCATAAAAGTCTTCTCTGTCCTACATTCTATCTATATCTTCAGTTTCTTTTCTTTCACTTTTGGCTCTTGTCACACACACACACACACACACACACACACACACACACACAATTTCCCACTAATTTTGAGCTCCTCAAGACCAACAGGAGCTTGTCTCTTTCATCTTCAGAGTCTAACACAAGAACTAGGACATTTAGAACACAATTTAGTGGGGCTTGAGATGAATCACATGGCTGCTACTAGTCCACAGATGGGAACAGGGTTGGCAGGCCTGTTGCCAGGGATATGGGAGTGCACAGCTCCTGCTGGACCCCCAGGATGAGACTGCCTCCAGGACCACAGTCCAGCGGAACTGGAGCCAGGTCATGGGATCTCTTCTGGGTCTGCGATCAAGCCTGCAGATGGCAGACCTGTTACCGGAGATGTACAGATGGGTGGCTCCCACTGTATCCCTGGGCATGCAGGACTACCTCTATGGCTATCAGAGAGCAGGGCTGTAGCTGGGTCACAGGGCTGCTTCTAGATCCGCTGGCTGGTCCAGGAGCAACAGGTCTGTTACTGGGCAAGCGGGTGGGTACGGCTCTTGCCAGGTCCTTGGGTGGGCAGGTCTACCTTCTCACCATGGTATAGCAGGACTCAAGACAGGTCCCAAGTCTGCCTCTGGAACCATAGTTAAGTTTAGGTCAGTTGGCCTATTACCAGGG